AGTCTGTCATTATTTTGATGGATTTTCCTTTATAGGTACTCTGTTTCTTTTCTCTGATTGCTTTTAATATTCTGTTCTTGTGATGAATTTCTGGGATCTTGATTGTTATGTGTCTGGGTGTAGATCTGTTTTGACTGTAGTTTGCTGGAGTTTTGTATGCCTCATTTATCTGTATATCATTTCCTTTTCCTATGCTTGGGAAGTTTTCCTTAATTATTTCTATGAATAGCCCTTGTAATTCATTTGTGTTTACTCCTGCTTCTTTGCTGTTTTTTATTCTTAAGTTATAGATCCTCTTGTCATCTTCTAGCCTTTGCATTGTTACTTCCTGGTTCCCTGTTATTTTTAAGAGACCTTTTCTTTCGCGATCACACATTGCAAATCTATCTTCAAATTTTGAAAGGCTAACATTAGTTTCTGTCAAAGCATTTTGCCAACTTTCAATGAAGTTTTTAGTTTCCTGGTAATCTCTTTGGATCTGTTTCATGTATTCTAGATTTTGTTTATATTCTTCACCAAAGGTTTCTCTTCCTTTTCTGGGTTCCTCCATTCTTCCATCTGTGTCTTCTTCAGAGGGGCTTAGCATTTCTTTTATTAATCTTTTTATATCTTGCCTCATTTGGATTACAATTCCAGTTTTAAGTTCATCTATGAGGTCATGAAGGTATTTCTTTATGTCTGCTGATGCTGTGGCTGATTGCATGATTGCTGCCCTGGATCTCTTCTGTATTTACCTTTCCTGGACTTATTTTTCCAGAGTCAGCAGCTGGAGGCTTTTTCTTATTTCTTTCTCTTGTCATGTTTCTGGTTTCTTTAAGACAGGTGTATGGTGGAGGTCTCAGACCCTTTCCGCATTGCTTATAGTTTTTCTGAAGCATGCTGGCTGGGCGCTTCCTGCCTTCTCCAGTTTACTGTTATCTGAGGTGCACACAGGGACTGTGGGCTGGCCCCTCTTCTCTGACCCAGTCAACTGGCGAGTGCCTTCAGCACATTAGTCTGTGCTGTGTGGATGTCACAGATTCAGGACAGTTTCGTTCCTGGTTATTAGGTTCTGACGAAGGGTGTGATCCAGCCTAAGCAGATCCCACCAATCCTCTCTGGACCAGGCACAGCTGACTGATGCCACTGCGGTTCTGAGTTCAGGCCCGTTATGCCCAATTCCAGTATGTCCTCCAGCCAGCCACACTCGCCGAGGGACCTAATTTCTAGCACTCACCATGAATTAATGCAGTTCTCCTCCTGGGCTCCACTCTATGCTGCACTGTGTCCTCCTGCCAAAGGCCCCAGACTTCAACTCCCCATTTCAGCAGCTGCAGCTTCAGTGTGACCATGAATCATCTGACCCCAGGGCGTGCCCAGCACAGTGCAGGACCTGTCCCAGTGAGCGAGTCTGGTTCCAGCCTTTCATTCACGTTTTTCCTTCCTTTCTTTCTTTTTCTTTTTCCTCAGTTTCTTCCTGGGTCATGAGAATCCCTCTCCTTTCATCTGGTCTTCTCCATGTTGTTAAATTCTAGCATCTGAGCTGTTTTTCTCAGAAAGGCTCTCTACCCAGCTACCTATCAAGCCACCATGTTCAGAACTCAATTCATGTTTAGCTTTAATTTGTCCATTTTTTTGTTTGTCTCTTTTTGGTCCTGGGGATTGAGCCTAGGGCCTCACATGCTCTAGGTAAACACTGCCACTGAGGCAAATGCTGTCACTGAGGTACACCCTCACATTTAAAAAATTTTTTACTTTGAGACAGGGTCTCACCAAGTTGCCCACCCTGGTCTCAAACTTGTGATCTTCCTGCCTCAACCTTATGAGAAGTTGGAATTGTATATATAGGCACCAGCAACAGCCACTCATTCAGGTATAAATAATATGTGATATTTAAAAATAATATATATATATATATATATATATATATATATATATCATTATAATAAAATGAATTCTCAAATAACCCAGGGCCCATTTATTTCTTTCCATCTCCAATATAGTCATTCCTAATCAAAATTACTATCATCTCCTACCTATGCAGTTAAAACCATCTTTCCTGCCTGTTTTAAGCCCTTAAATTCCATCTTCACAAACAAGGTTACTTTCTAAAAATTCTTAACTAAAACCTTTCCATGCTTTTGTACTCAGTTCATTTAGACTAAGCTCCAAACTCCTGACCATCATCTGCATGTTTCTATTTACCCCTCTAATCTCATTTGATACAGGTATCTTTTCACCATGGTTTAGTCTTACAGGCTTCTTTTTGATTTCTAGAACACATTATGTTCTTTGCTATATCAGATTCTTGTGGCTGTGGCTTTGCTGTTATCTTTGCCTCAAAGGTTTTCTGTTCTTCTGCTGGGTGGCTTCTTGTGACACCTCTGGGCAGCTTTAATGTAACCTCCTCCAAGGCTTCCCCCAGGCACTCCATATGAAGAAGGTATCCTCATCTGATTCCCCATTACTCCTTCATATTTTCCCATTTATCTCATAGCTAAAAGGCATTACAACCATTGTGTAGTTTTTCTTTACTTGTTGATGATCTATCTGTGGAAATTAAATCTTTAGGAGTACAGGGACTTGTTATATCTTCCTCTCTGCTCTTGCTCAAATACCTAACCCAGCTCACAGAGGTAGCTATATAATAAATACTGGTTAAGTAAATGATTAAGTAAATCATTGCATTTTGATTCTCAGCTGATTTCTTGTTTGTATCCTAATTAGTTAAGTACCTGAAGATTAGAATGAGGGTCCCCCATAGTGCTTTAGCAGCCTTGCATGTGAAGAACATCAAATCACAAGTACACAGGCTTCCCTCAAAAGTAATCAGTGGTGAAGCTTAAGAGATTTTCAGGGAAATAAATGTCAGATAATGTTGAAAAAGGTGAAAAGAACATAAAGTTAAATGGAAAGGTCAGAACTAAAAGGATATGTTATGAATGCTTGACTAAATAATAAATGAAGAGGTTTTGTGAAAATTATGGCCCCAAGAAATCAAATCAGCTGCTGCCATTGGGGGAGCCTCAGTGTAGCCACACGGGTCCAGAGAAGCCTGGCCTGTGCACCACCGCCTCCATAGGAGCCTACGTTCAGAGAAACCCAGGTACTGGCCCTTTCCCCTACACTGTGGATGGGCAGCCAACCTGGGACGGGCCTGGGACCCCACAACTGGCTTATCCAGAGAAACCCAGGAAAATATCATGACAAAGGAGCAAAATACAATCTCAGACCTCCAGCCTACACACAGCAAGTCCAGAAGACACAGACATAAATTGAAAGTTGCACACCTGAAATTTCTGAAATGATAGCAACTGAAGTAAAGAAATAACTTCATGAGGTTGTAAAAGAAACCATAACAGAAACAGTATCTCAGGTAAAAGAAATGGCAATCGTAACGAAAGAATTGATGAGCATTTCTAAAGAAGACACAGATTAAAAAAAGAGGCACATAGGAAAAAGATAGAAATCTTGAATGAACAATATAGGAAAGAATTAGAATGTGTGAAATAGATTCAAAGAGATAACCAGGAAATTGAAATTTCCATTGAAAGCAGGAAAATCTACTTAAACTAAATTAATGATAGATTTTTTTCAGACCTTGAAGACAGTATGGCAGCTAGTGATTGTGAATGGACAGCTCTCTTAAAAATAACAAGGAACCGGGAAATAACACTCCAATGGCTTCAAGATGATGCAAAGAAAAATAATTTAATATTGGTAGGTATCCAAAAAAGCAGGAGTCAACATAAATGATATAAAAAGAATATTTACAGAATAGCAGAAAAATTCTCAAGCAAGGACCTGACATACAGACAAGGCAAAACTATCTTTCAAAATTAATTGAGAAATAAGATCCTCCATGACAAAGAACAACTGAAGAAATTCATGATCACCAAGGCAACTCTAGAGAATATTGACAGATATTCTAAAAAGAGATAAAAATAACGACATTTCCAAGCATAACAGCAGAAAGAAATCACCAAGCAGGGCAAGCAATTAAATAGAGCGGAGAAACAGGGAACCAGAAAAATAACATGACAATGACAAACCAATACATATCAGTCATAACCCTTAATGTAAATGGCCTCAATTCATCAAGAAAGAGTGGATCAAGAAACAAAATCCATCAATATGCTGTATACAAGAAACACATTTAACTCAAAAGGAAATTCACATACTGAAAATCAAAGGAGGGAAAACAATAGTCTAAGTGATGGGAACCCAGAAAAAAGCAGGGGTAACTTGCCTACGAAGTACGGCATGGATAAGACAGATACAGTATTTTTATACAACAGGTATAACTCAGGTATAAAGAAGGATATTATTGAGGCTTTTGAAGGTAAATGGATGCAATTTGAGATCATGTTCAGGGGTGAAATGGTTCAGACTCACATGGGTGAACACTGTGTTGTCTTTCTAGTATAAAAACTAAAGGAATTAGTGGGATCCAAAATGTACAACAGATACTGTAAAAGTGAAAGGGAGGAAATGGCTAAAAAGGGAAGGGACACCTGGGATGAGGGAAAAGAGAAAAGAAAAAAATAAAGGAAAAGATCACACACACACACACACACGATAGATAATTATATTACTAATCTCTTTTAGCCCAACAAAAAGAATGGTTTGTGCTTTTACTACCTGATCATTTTTTCATGCATGTCTGGTAATTTGAACAACTACTTTGAAGACAACAATATGCAACACATTAACCATTATTAATTTCCCTGTTATTCTGTTTTGAAATTCTGTATCATTTTTATTTATTTATTTATGCTTGTTTTACAATTTAAAAAATGGTCAGTCAGATGGGATGCAGAGCCACTGGGGGAGGATATAGATGGGGGAAAAGGATGGAGTGATAGGGGTGGGCAGAGAAAGAGAGAGGAAGAGGAAGGGGAATCTTTTCTTTGAGCCAGCTGTGGATAAATGCTACCAAAAATATTTTATATATTCTGTTGAATATCTCCACATGACTTGTTATTTGAAAAAAATCATTTTTATGGTTTTGGTTAACTCACCCAGGTGGTGGGATCTTGAAATTTCTCTCACTACCGTCCAGGGTCCTTTTCCATTCTCCAAATGATATATCATATCTGGTTTAGAAATTGCAAGTCCTGTTCAAAGAAAAATAAACAAGACTTAGTGGAAGCTACAAATAAAAACTATTACCACATTCAGTTCCAATTCTTAATATTCTGTATTGGGCAGTCATTATAGGGAATTTTAGAGCTACACTGTCCCATATGATTGCCAGAAGTCACATATGGCTATTTAAACCTGAGCTGTAGTTAATTAAGTAAAATTTAAAATTCACTTTGTCAAGGGGTTTAGCTCAACGATAAAAGTGCCTGCTTGGCAAACGCGAGGTCATGCGTTCAATACCTGGCACCAAAAATAAATAAAATAAAATTCACTTTGTCAGATGGCCTAGCTAAATTTCAAGTGCTCAGAACCTTCTAGTAGCTAGAACTTACCATAGTGGGAAACACTGACACATACTGGACATCCCTATCATAATAGAATGTTCTCTTGTACCGTGATGTTCTAGAAAACTATGATCAGCAGTATGATCCTAATTTGGTGGGATCATGCAAATAATCTAAGTTCAGAAAAAGAATGAACATATTTTTTTCTTTCTAGAGACAATGATAATAATTTCCACTTATGAAAGTGATCAGAAAAAACTTTGATCCTATGTCTGTGGCACTTTCAACAATTTCTGACTCTGAAGAAGTAAGTTTCCTACTACATAATGAGCACAGATTTAGTCAAGAGGAAGAGCGTAAGTTCCAAAAATGTGCCTCTCAGGTTGAGAAACTGAATTCTAAGGCAAATTCAGAAAAGTACTTTTGAGGTTCTAGTATATATTCTTGGTAAGTGTCATCAAATGGATGAACACATCAACACAAAAAAGAAGCTATCCTTACCCAGGGAGACCAGATTTCTGTAATTCTCTAGCATCACATCCTTGTGCAACTTCCTCTGCGTAGGATCCATCAACCTCCATTCCTCCAACGTGAAGTCTATAGCCACATCCTTAAATGTCACTGATTCCTAAAATACATATAGTGCAATCAATGAGACTTTGTAAAATTAGACCTGTTAGGCAGGAAATACAAAACTAGGGAAAACCTTCAGAAAACAGAATCACCAAATGATTATAAAGGTCAGCCTGGCTGGCCGTGGTGGCACATGCCTGTAATCTCAGAACTTGAACTGGGGGAGCTGAGGTAGGAGTGTTGCTGAGAGTTCAAGGCCAGCCTAAAATATAGAGTAAGACCCTGTATCAAAAAACAACAACAATAACAAAAAAGGTCAGCCTGTTCAATCCTTCCAGGATATGAGAACTTAAAACCACAAGTACAAGACTATTCTATCATCAGAGTTTCACCTGATAGCAGGAATATTTTTTCAGACTAATTCAAATCTGTTACTATAAGTTCTAAGTATTTGGTACTACTATATTACTTGGAGTCAAAAGCATGGTTTTCAGCTTCCCTAAAAGTCTTTAAAATATTTTATAACTGCCAGTAGTTTTTATCCAAATCATCTTTTCTCCCTTAAAACTGGCTTATCTGGTATCAATCTTCCTTCAGTTCTAATCAACACAGTATGGCTTAAGAAAAGATACACTTTGTCATTTGGACACTATAAACCCTCTCAGAGAAATAAAAGAAAGCACTTAGGGGGAGGTTTTTTATTCAGGAAAGAATATATATATTCTTTCTTGAGGCATAGAATACACACACACACACACACACACACACACACATATATAACCTAAGTAGATGGTAGACCTTTCTGAATATCTGTTTTGCATATATGACTTTGGAAACATGTAAACAGCTTATTTTAAAACAGACAAGTTTTAAAAACAAGTCCAAAAAGTTAAAGTAAGCCCAGTTGGTTGCACAGCCATTCATTAGAAACTATTTTGAGTGACTTTAAAACAGTAATTTTTCTGTATGTATCTAATGACACACTCTGAGGAGAAAAAGAATTACAAAATAAAGGCAAAATACAATGCTTTCAGTAAATAATCAATCATATTGATGTTAGTGTTAGAAATGCAATTCTATAAGGGTGTTGGATAAAGCAAATTACTATGTTGATGTTGTTGAAAACTAAAAATTTGGCATGGAAGAAAAAAGAGGTAAATGTAATACTGATGAGATCAGCTTTTAAGAATCTATAGTTCTGAGTTTGAATTGGAGGTGACAGTACAGATTCATAAATTACTTTCTGTCTAAGGAAAAATTGAAGTGTACTTCCTACGTTCATCCACCTAAAAATGCCTAGAACAGTAACTAATAAGATAGCATCGTGCAAAGCAGTAATATAGAATAGTACTGCCAAAATATTCTAAAAAATCAAAATCTAAATCTGATCAAGGATTTAACTAGTAATTTAAAAGAAATACAGGGGCAGAAGGACATGTTAAATCATCCTATGGGAATGCAATCAGTAAAACCCACATTGTATGAAATTCTAAGTTAATCCTGTCTAATAGAAAAATATAAGGCAAATCATTTATGTGATTTTCTAGTAGCCATATTAAAAATAAAAAGAAATAGGTAAAATTAGTTTTTAAAATATATTTTACTTACATATATATAATTGTAACTTCAGGAATCAATACAAAAATTAATGACATATTTAATATTATTTCTTCACATTAAGTGTGAAAGGTGGTATGCATTTTAAATTTACTATGTCTCAATCTAGACTACGCATACTTCCAGTGGTCAACAGTTTCATAAGGTTAGTGGCTTTTGTTTTACATGATGTAGATCTAAAGCAGAAATGACTCGGTTTATTCAAAAAAGGGAACTAAAAAATGTGTACATGTAAAATAAAGGGTAATGGGTAGAATAATACTTCTTTTGAAGAACTGCACTAGAAGAAAAATATATTTTAAAAAAGTATTACTAATAGTTATTCTATAAACAAAAGAAATACTAATAAAAACCAATAAAATAATGACTTGCTGATAGTCATCAAAATATTGGTCCTACTAAAAAGCAAACAAAATTTAATTTTAGTGGTTTAAATTCAGTACTCATAAAAATGATTCAAAATTTAAGAAGCCAGACAGTAATAATTTTCCAGTGACTCATTTCGTCAAAAAACAAAATTAAACCATTGGAATTGTTCATTACGACAAAAAGAATAGTGCTTTTTAAGGTTCAAGATGAAGAGCCTAAAATTATGAATATTTTCACCTTCAATTTAAGTCATGTAAATTATTTTATGTTAAAGGTTAAGTTTAAGAATCACTAGCCTGCTAATACATTTCGAAAATATTATATGTAAGACTGACCCTCAGAAAAAGAAAATTTTAATTTTATACAAAATATTTTTGGAATAAAATCAACTTTCAAGTAAAATTTTTGAAACTAAGAACATAATCCTTAAAAGCACAGTGAACATTTGTCAATGACACTTAAAATACTGATAAGGGATTAGGATACTGAGAAAATTGATTCAAAAGAAACAGAAGTATAGATTAGGAAAAAAGGATATTAGAATAGGCCAGGTGTGGTGACACATGTCTGTAATCCCAGCATTAGAGAGACTGAGGCAGGAAGATAACCATGAGTTTGAGAACAGCCTGGGCTACCTAAGTGAGTTCAAGGCCAGCCTGCATTACTTAGACCTTGACTTCAAAAAACAAAGTCCGGGGGCTGGGGATTTAGCTCAGTGGCATAAGCACCTGCCTTGCAAGCAGGCGGTCATGAGTTCGATCCCCGGTACTGATAAAAATGAAAAAAAAAAACAAAAAACAAAAAAAAACACAAAGTCCTAGACTAAGGTTACAAAATTGCATACAAACCTCATAATATCCTATAGAGCAGTAAGGGTAACTTGGGGAATTAGCTTATCACTGAGATAGAAATAATCTACAACGGTTTAATCTTCTACAAATTAGGATCGCTTTGAGGGGTTTAATGTTAATCAATAGTAAATAATGAGTTAACAATATAATATAATGCTCTTCTGCTGTGTCAGATGACCTTTAGGTCTTAGACAATGGTCTATTATAATACTGAAAAGGCCTATATTTATCTTTTTTGCTTTCTTTCTAAATTTTCAATAATTTTTCATAATAAATTCCTGATTCTGATTTTTTCTGGAAAAACTAGAAGATATTATGTTTATAAATAAGAAAATATGCTTAACAAATATAGCAAAATAAAAATCTAAACCAATTTAAACTTATCTTAAGGTTATTTTGGCTGATATTGAAATATTCTTGATATTTGTGTATGTAGTGGATTTTCCTATACAAAGCAAAAGTCAGAGTACGTAATGAAAAGTCAGAGTACGTCAGAGTATGATGCTGTCAAATTTAAGGCCGCCACAGCCTGGGGAAGGAAAATCAAATTGATGTTACCAGCCGAGGGGCTACTACCCCTATCAAATATTCACTGTGAATTAGTAAACATGAGTATTAACAATTCAGGACAGTCAGAAGAATTTTCTCTTTATTCCTCTTACATATGATAGCAGGTATTACCTTCACTAATTCTGCTTCTCCTGCTTGAAGCTGTAGCTCTTCATGTGGCTGGGTAACTTCGGGGCTCTGAAGGGACACAGAGTGAGATTACTCATCAACAGGCTGCCTCTGACCTGTAGCAGAGCCTCAGCAGGCACCACCAGCCCACTGTGCATGCAGCGTACACGGGGAACCTCTTTCCCCATTTTAGTAACGGATAAAACGAAGGTCCTGTTGTAACAACCAATCATAGTCTTCTTTCACCTTGTTTGAGACAATGACAAGCACACACATGATTGAGAAAGTTATGTCTACTAACAGGGTGGTTTAAACAAAGAATAAAAGCTCACTAAAACAGATTAAAGATAACTACTGTAATAAACTGTATTTATAGGTTATTACCTTTCTTATGACTCTCCTTCAAAAAGTCACTACTAAAACAGTTTTTGTCACTTTAATACCCATCCAAACATACACAGGAATATAGATATACACATTAAAATGTTTTTAGGGAAATGTTAAAAGATTCACCTTAAAAATCGAATTCTCACCTTATCTTTTCATAACTTTTCAGCTTGAATCACTAGGTTACCCACTATCCTCTGCCTCAGAGCTTTGCCTTTAAACTCCATTCTTACCTGGAACATCTTCACAAATACTTTGTGACAATGTAAATTCCATTGAGTACCTGGTAAATCAAGCTCTCCTTACGAGCTTTCCATGGAGAATTTAGATAACAATAATCTCCCTTTCTTTATATAATACTCATAAGCTCAGCAACTACCATCCACCTTGACAAATTATGTGACTACTTTTTTTAATGTTTCACCTTCGGCAAGACTAAGCTCCCGAAAGGCAAGCATTGTGTCTTAAACATCTTTCTCTCCTTGTTACCTAACAATGTTGGCCACTTAACAGGCACACATGGAAGATTATTGAGAATGGGCACAGGAGGAGTGCTCTCTATCAACTGCATATTCATATATTTTTCTGGAAATTTCCTATCCAGTTGAAAATATTCTGCTGCACTGCCCCATAAATAACTCAAATTTCCCAGGAACACTACAAATTTAACTCCAAAAGCAAATTTCTAAGACTGGCCATCATATCTAAAAGTAGCCCAGATATTTTTGGGAAGAATCTGAGTCTTGGTATTTGATTCAATACAGTTGATGAATCCTTCCATTGGTTTATAATTTTAACTACTGGTGATCATAGTTTTCATGGGTCAAACAGTTTAGTTCTGTTCCTAGAAAGAATGTGAATGAGACAGAGAAATCACATGATTTCAGGAAATGTAGGCATGCTCTCAAACCCACAGTCAGAAAAAGAGAAGACCCTAACTTACCAGAAGTCCAACTGAAAAAACCACAGCAGCCATAATCTCTGCCTCAGTGGTCTCGTCTCTAGAAAGTGTACAGTCTTGCAAGGGCATATCTGAGGAGGAGAAAGAAGCCATTAAAATCAATCTTGCTTTGGCAATTTCAGATTCAGTGAGTTGGAATCCTAACACACAAGTGAGTATGACCTCCCTAACGAAAACAAGAGTAACCACAAGGCCAGTGAGGAGCAAAGACCCACGGTCCTAGAGACTTGAGGTAGTAACTATTAAATGCAGCTACACCTAGCAGGTCACACATTGTATTAGGAGCTCTTAAAATATTTTCTGATTTAGTTTTCCCATCAACCCAGTGGGAATTTTATTTCCATTCCATAGATGAGGAAATAGAGATTTAGAAACTTTCAACTACTTCCCCAAGGCCAGTGCAGATATATGATACAGACTCAATTTAATTCTAAAGCCTATACACTGACAATGAACCTTTTAGACTAAGATCGAGTGCCAAACTGTAACCCAAAACCCACTTATTTGTAATAACACTATTAAACCTGAATATTATTTTAGTTTAGAAAAAAAATCAACTCTATATTAAAATCTTTTGTCTTAAAAGAAAAACAGGATAATATGTATGCTGCCATAGTTCACCACTACTGGCCTATGAAAGGTTCCTGCCCTAATATAAATTACTAAATATTATGGTAGTGGTCTAAAATGGTGGAAGACCAACACAAAAACAGCTTATCTTCCTGATGACCACTTCTCCATCCTCCTTCCTTCAGCACTGAATACAACTTCCTATTTCCTGTCCTGTGCACAAAGAAAATTCCAATCGGATCATCAAGTATCATCAATGCCGGCCAACCTCCGTCTCTGGCCAGAGGTCCTATAACCGTCACCCACTTTGTATCCAGCCAGAGGAGGAGCCCAGCCCCACAAGTCGTGCCCTCTTCTCAGCACCCTCAACAAAGACCTCTTTTTCTTTATTTTGCTTCTCTTTGGGGCTGGAAAACCTAACAGCCTACACCTTCCCCACTCAAACAACATGCAGTGGGAAGCTCGAGAAAGTAATTACATCCTTCCTTGCCCCGATCTCCTACTCATCTAACAACACAATACTGTAAGAAGCTTTCCTGGAAGAGTCACATTATTTGAAAAGTCAGACACCTTAGCCTCATGTAAAGAGAACATCACAACATCAAAGTTTAAATGATCCTACAAACCTTGGTATGACCCTCCCAATCTCATTTTTTCAACAGTTTTCTATCTACTGTTTGTATGTAAGGCAAACCCAAATAGAAAGGAAGCAGGATTAATGACAATGGAAGAGAAAGTGGGATTCAAGTCACAAAGCATGAAGCAGTCATCTTCATAACTGAAAAAATATGCATAATAAACATTTGATACTGTAGAGAAATAGGGTGTCAGAGAGTTTGTTCAGGTGTGCCGGGCACTGATTCTACTTTTCTACCTCTGGTTAAGAATAAACTCAGCAGACTACATTCTTTCCTCATGAAACATCATTATAATTAGAAATGTAAACAGAAGTCTGAAGGGAAGGAGAAAAGTTATCATGTGAAAATTAAAACATGACCTTCTCAGTATCAATGGAGTCAAAAACTGAAAAATATAATTGCCAGTGAGTTAGAAAATAAGGCTACTATAAATTAACATTTCCTGAACTGCTGTCAAAGCGTTAAAGAGATTCGATTCCTATCCCTAAATATTTTCAAATAAAAATTTTAAAAAGAATGAAAAAATAAATATTCAACTAAAAAGAATTAACAAGTAAAGAGCTGACAAACTCAGGAGCTACTTCTCTAAATAATAAAATACACAAGGCACTGGCCAGTCAAAAGAAAAGCTATAAACCAAAAATCTGAATAATAAAGGAGCTATAACAAGCACTTTAAAACCATCAGTAGGCTGGTGCGGTGGCCCACTGGGGGCTGAGGTAGGAAGACTGCTGAGAGCTGGAGATTAGCCTGGGCTACGAAGTGAGTTCAATGCCAGCCTGACCCGCATAGTGAAACCCTGTCTCAAACAAACAAGCAAGCAAACAAAAAACCCAATAAAACAAAACACAACCTGTCAATAAAATTTCCCAAAGAACTATTTATGCTAAACATTGCCTAAAACTGAAGAGCAGAAATCTAAGTGTTTGCTGTTTGCCTTGCAACATCCAACTCCTCCCTTCTTCTTTTTGATAGTGACTTGGAATCTTAGTTAAACAAAAGCTACTCAGCCTGGGCATTTCCTAGACTCCCATGCAGCCGGGTGTGGTACTGTCACTGAATTATAGCAAATAGGATCTGAATAAAAGAGACACATCTTACTTTCTCACCACATCTTTAAAGGGAGGTAGATGCTTGAAGTTGGATATGACAATGTATACCTGTAATTTCAGCTCTGGGAGGTTGAGACAAAAGATTGCAATTTTAAACCTAGACTAAGGAACATAGAGAGACCCTGTCTCAAAAAACAAAGCAAAACAAAACAACACTGGGCATGTAGTTCAGTGCAAAGGCACTGGGTTCAATTCTCATATTGCAAAGTAAATACATAAATAAATAATAAAGGGGAGTCGCTTACCCTCCACTTCTTTCTTTCCTCTTCTAGTGGCCTAGAATGCAGATACTAATGGAGTGAACCACCTTACACCATCAGAGAGGAGGACAATCCTCCTTAGAAAGCATGGAAAAAAAGATGGCATGAACCTGGGTCACTGGAGCTGCCTACATCCACCCATACCATCAACTCAGATCACTGAATGAGACAGATGCAACTGTCTGTCTTGTTCAAACCACTGTTATTTGGATTCTTTTAAAACTGTAAAATTAACTTTCTAAATAACACTGAATGTCATGAAAGAAAAAAATTATTGCCTGCAATGCCCCAGACTACCATGGGCCTGCCCCTTGGGGAAACCCCCCCCTCCTGGATCTAGTACTGTTGTTGGTCTTTGGCTCCTACCCCTTCTCCCAGAACCTTGGACTACAGCGGATTACTGTGCTGGCCTGATGGGAGACTCAGGAACCCCTCACCCAAATGAAGACCTTGGCAGGCTCCAGGCAGTATGGGGAGTTTGCCCCTAAAATAGAGGTCTGCAGTGGGTAAACAGGAGCAGTAGTAACGCTCCCTCCAACTGCAAGACCTTAGCGAACCTGGCAAGACAGTGGATGATCCCCTCCTCCACACAGAGAACATCAGACAGGTTGTAGAGTGCGCCAATAAAGCCTCCCCCAAGTTGGAGAAAATTAAAAGGGCTTATGAGACACCCAGTGACACAACAGGGCCTCAGCCAACACAAACACTACAGACAGGGAGATCTGCTGACCTGCAATAACCTGAAGACATAGCAACAGCAGGAACAAAGAGTTGACCTACATCAATACTCCTAGGCTAGTTAGCCTGGGGAGAATACAGGACTCACACAACAGGCCCTGCAGGAAGAATTCAAGTGACTGGCTCTCCCTTTCATTATGGTACCCAGCAATTGGACAAACATCAATCACACAGTAAGACCCTCAGATTCACATTACCGACAGTTGAGACATTGGGATTGAAAGACTAAATATTTGTCCTAAAGGTGAAAATGACAAAATGAAAAGGCAAAATGAAATCTTAAACATCTAGTCCATCAGGAGCAAGTACAGATGACACTGAAATAGAGGACTTTAAAAGTCATACACCAGGAATCTCCAAAAAGATAGCAAATGAAATAAAGAAACAAATTCATGAGGCAGTAGAGGAAATTAAATTAGAACTAGCTTCCTATGTAAAGACAGAAACAACAACCTTAGTAAAGGAGTTACTCAGCATAGCCAGAGAAGAAATAGATTTTAAAAAAAGGAACATGAGAAATTGATTGGAACCTTGAATGAACAATGTAGAAAACAAGCAGAATCTATGAAACAAATTCAAAGAGATAAGCAAGAAACAAAAAATTCTATTTAAATGAAGCTGAGGATAGAATTTTGGACCTTGAGGACAGGATCACTGTTAGCGATCCTGAAACAGTATAACTTTTAAAAACAACAAAGCAGCATGAGATGACAATCCAGCAGCTTCAGCATGATGCCAAGAAAAACAATATAAGACTAATGGGCATCAATGAAGATGCAGGAGTCAACTCAAATGACATAGGTAAACTATTCACAGAAGTAATAGCAGGAAATGTCCCAAACATGGGGAAAAAATCTGATATACAGATAAGTGAACACACCAAACATACACAACCAACATAAATCTATATCCAGACATATAATAATTAGAATCCCAGACATGTAGCATAAAAACAAAATACTAAAAGCTGTTAGAGAAAAGACAAAACTTACCTATCAAGGAAAGTCCATCAGAATCATGGCAGACTTTTCAACACAAACCCTCAACTTAAGCCTGGAGTGCAGTATTCCAAGCTCTGAAAGAAAACAATTTTCAACCCAGACTGATGTACCCAGAAAAACTGTCTTTCAAATTAAAAGGAGAAACAAGATACTTCCATGACAAAGAACAACTGAAGAAATTCATGTCCACCAAACAAACCTTAGAAAGAGTGTTGAAAGACATACTAGATAGAGACAAAAATGACCACAATCTCCACAACAATAATAGAAATATGCCACCAGGCAGGGCAAGCAAATAAACAAAGGGGTAAAGCAGAAAACAAACAGGGACATAACATGACAAAGTCGAGCCAGTATGTATCAGTTATATCCATAAATGTAAATGGCCTCAATTCACCTATCAAAAGAAATAGGTTGAGAGAATGGATCAAGAAACAGGATCCCACAATATGCTGTACACAAGAAACAGATGTGACTCAAAAGAAAACTCAAAATGAAAAGTTAAAGGATAGAAAACAATATTTCATGAAACAGGAACCCAGAAAAAAGCAGGGGTAGAAATTCTATTTGCAGACAATGTGAACTTCAAACTTAAAAGGATTAAAGGATATAAAGAAGGTCATTACATACTTGTTAGTAAAAAACTTCCAGAAGAAGAACTAACAATTATGCACCAAACACAGGAGCACCCAACTATATAAGACAAATACTAATGGACATGAAAAACCAAATACACAAGCACACAATTGTAA